ATAGTATTATTAGATTATAATGTAGGTGTTAGCGAACACGGATGTAGTATTATTAGATTCTAATGTAGGTGTTAGCGAACACGGATATAGTATTATTAGATTCTAATGTATGTGTTAGCGAACACGGATGTATTATTATTAGATTCTAATGTATGTGTTAGCGAACACGGATATAGTATTATTAGATTCTAATGTAGGTGTTAGCGAATACGGATGTAGTATTATTAGATTCTAATGTATTTGTCAGCGAACACGGATGTAGTATTATTAGATTCTAATGTATGTGTTAGCGAACACGGATGTAGTATTATTAGATTCTAATGTATTTGTCAGCGAACACGGATGTAGTATTATTAGATTCTAATGTATGTGTTAGTGAACACGGATGNATTATTAGATTCTAATGTATGTGTTAGCGAAATACGGATGTAGTATTATTAGATTCTAATGTATGTGTGAGTTAATACGGATGTAGTATTATTAGATTATAATATAGGTGTTAGTGAATACGGATGTAGTATTATTAGATTCTAATGTATGTGTTAGCGAACACGGATGTAGTATTATTAGATTATAATTTAAGTGTTAGCGAACACGGATGTAGTATTATTAGATTCTAATGTAGGTGTTAGCGAATACGAATATAGTATTATTAGATTCTAATGTAGGTGTTAGCGAAGACGGATGTATTNATTCTAATGTATGTGTTAGCGAACACGGATGTAGTATTATTAGATTCTAATGTATATGTTAGCGAACACGGATGTAGTATTATTAGATTCTAATGTATGTGTTAGCGAACACGGATGTAGTATTATTAGATTCTAATGTAGGTGTTAGCGAACACGGATGTAGTATTATTAGGACACCTACATTAGAATGAGTTAATACGGATGTAGTATTATTAGATTCTAATGTAGGTGTTAGCGAACACGGATATAGTATTATTAGATTCTAATGTAGGTGTTAGCGAACACGGATGTAGTAGTATTAGATTCTAATGTATATGTTAGCGAACACGGATGTAGTATTATTAGATTATAATGTAGGTGTTAACAAATACGAATGTATGGTATTATTAGATTCTAATGTAGGTGTTAGCGAACACGGATGTATGGTATTATTAGATTCTAATGTATATGTTAGCGAACACGGATATAGTATTATTAGATTCTAATGTATATGTTAGCGAACACGGATGTAGTATTATTAGATTCTAATGTAGGTGTGAGTTAACACGGATGTATTATTATTAGATTCTAATGTAGGTGTTAGTGAACACGGATGTAGTATTATTAGATTCTAACGTATGTGTTAGCGAATACGGATGTATTATTATTAGATTCTAATTGTATGTGTTAGCGNGAGTGTAACGTCTAGCTGTGGGGACGCCGGATGGGCAGGGGCGCCGCGGCGCAGCAGGGACAGCCCGAGATCTGCGTCATAATCGCCGTGTACGAAAAACAAATGCGTCACGATCACGGTGCGCGAGTGTTCGTCCAGCGACAGTTTCTTCAAGGAGCGTAACGTCTAGCTGTGGGGACGACGGATGGGCAGGGGCGCCGTGCTGCAGCAGGGACAGCCCGAGATCTGGGTCATAATCGCCATGTATGAAGAATAAATGCGCCACGATCACGGTGCGCGACTGTTCATCCAGCGACAGTTTCTTCAAGGAACGTAACGTCTAGCTGTGGGGACGACGGATGGGCAGGGGCGCCGTGCCGCAGCAGGGACAGCCCGAGATCTGCGTCATAATCGCCGTGTATGAAGAACAAATGTGTCACGATCGCCGTGAGCGGCTGTTCATCCAGCGACGCTTTCTCCAAGGAACGTAATGTTTAGCTGCGGGGACGCCGTGATGCAGCAAGGACAGCTCACGAACTGTGTCATTATCGCCGTGTGTTCGTCCGGCGACAGCATCTTAAAGAAGCTGCACTGTCTAGCCTTGCCAACGATGGATGGATGCACGGACGGTATTCTAAAGTATGTGTGAGGTAACACGGATGTAGTATTAGATTATGATGTATGTGTGAGGTAACACGGATGTAGTATTATGAGATTGTCACGTATAAGGATGCGAGGCCGCGGCTGTATGAATGCAGGAGTTACTCACAACGAACCGCACGCCCCGTATTAAGTCGCAAACGCTTTACGAACGTTCTGCTCTATACCGCACGAGAGCGAGTGTATTTCTTCCGTTCAGATCAATATAGGAGCTGTCGCGGCAAGCAGGGACAGATTTCTGGTCGACTTGGTCATGTGCAAAACGTTCTGCGGCCAGCCACCGCGAGAGAGAATCCATTAAGGTAAATTATACATCGAACGGAAAACGGGCCGCGCATGCGCAGATCCGGCTTCCGTTCAATCGTCGGCTCGTCCATGAATTAAAAATTATCACTGCCAAACATCACGGAATAATTTATAAGTGACGAGGGTGGGGTGGGGGCATATTCGCCATTTTGTTTCCGATATAGGGTTGAGAGAGGAATTGTGTGCATCAAAGCTCGTGCGCGTGTTTGTGTGTGCGTGTGTGTGTGTGTGTGTGTTTGTGTGTGTGCGCGTGTTTGTGTGTGGGCGCGTGTTTGTATGCGTGCACGCGTGCACGCATGCTTGCGCGTTCCTGTGTGTTCGGCAAAAACACACGACAGTCAAGTGCAGGCTAGGCCATCACTACCTACCGATTGAATTGATCATGAGAGAGTGTAAATGCACTGCTTATATATATCCACACCATACATATACACATGGAAGACATGATATAGGTGCCGTCAGAATATATACGTATATATTTCCACGCGATCACTCAAGAGCCTTATAAAATTATTACTTTCATTTCCACTATCTTTAGTCACACACGCCGCACATTGTGACTACAACACACATGAGTACAAAAGACTGCCCTCATGACGCCCAACGCGACACGAATGTTACACTCACATACATACACACGGATATATATATTGTATGTATTCACGTACGTATGCATACATGTATGTATGCATGCATATTATATATAATAATAATATATACGATAACAGTCTGCTACACTACTATTGACAATCTAACTCGGTTAGCTGGTCACAATAGATTATTATAGTATTTACACAGAATAGCTGGGCAGTCAGCGCATTCAAACCATATAAATAACTGACAAGTCACCGACTGCGTTAATAAATTAAAAAAACACAAGAACACACAACAGACACGACGACTCGAAAAATACGGCCTCGCATGTCGTTTTCACCAACACCGAGCTTTCCCGACCGGCAATCAAATTGGCGATTTCATTTCATTCGAGATGACAGAATCGAAATAAATACGAAAACGTACAACTATGAGCGATGTAAATTCACGCAAAATTAAATAAGCATCATCGTATCGCATGAGCAGACAAGCGACGGTGTCCTGAATTGAACGATTACAACAATACTTGTGCGTGCAATGCTACATACGAACGTAAAACACACGAACAGTTGTTCGGGAGGGGCCTTGCCGCATAAATTACACGCTGCGATCGAATCAATGTTTAATTTGGCATACGTTTTAAAATCGATCCGTCGTTGCGACGGCACAACACTTGATATTTACAATGCTTACGAAGAGGAAATCACAATCACAAAGTTTACGGTAACACATCGAAGCGATACTTTACAACGGCGGGGGGCTCGGCGCCGTGACCCCTCACGACCTCCCCCTCTGCGTTCGTGTGACCCGCCCACCGCGAAGTCACTGCTCGCTCTCTCACGAGTGCCACGAGTCGCAGAATCTGTCCTGATAGCAGTGAGCACTAGTCGATACGCACGGAGGCGGCAATGCTGTAAGACAACGCTCCCCACACTGTCCCACGGTTCATGCTGCCATGCTCGTCACTAGTATATGCGTCGTGGTAAGTTACCCAGTCACGGGTAAATGATCACGGCCAGATCTACCATGCAACATGTTGCGTTCACATACCACGATGCAGCATGAAAGTGCCATCAGTTTGTTGTCGTGTGAGCGACGGCGGATTGACTCCACGCGCTGCCTGCCCACCAAGTCTCTCATTGTCACCTGCCAGCGGTGCGCCCATCTCTTCTCTCATTGGCTATCCCTGTTAGATGCCACGTCGCCACACAATGTGGTGTCCATCGCTGACGATAGTCAGTTCTGCATCCCTGTTAATACTACATCCGTGTTCGCTAACACATACATTAGAATCTAATAATACTACATCCGTGTTAACTCACACCTACATTAGAATTATCTAATAATACTACATCCGTGTTCGCTAACACCTACATTAGAATCTAATAATACTACATCCGTGTTCGCTAACACATACATTAGAATCTAATAATACTACATCCGTGTTCGCTAACACATACATTAGAATCTAATAATACTACATCCGCGTTCGCTGACAAATACATTAAAATCTAATAATACTACATCCGTGTTCGCAGACAAATACATTAGAATCTAATAATACTACATCCGTGTTCGCTAACACCTACATTAGAATCTAATAATACTATATTCGTATTCGCTAACACCTACATTAGAATCTAATAATACTACATCCGTGTTCGCTAACACCTACATTAGAATCTAATAATACTATATTCGTATTCGCTAACACCTACATTAGAATCTAATAATACTATATCCGTGTTCGCTAACACCTACATTAGAATCTAATAATACTATATCCGTGTTCGCTAACACCTACATTAGAATCTAATAATACTACATCCGTATTCGATAACACCTACATTAGA